TTTTTTTTCTTGCTCCTCTTCTTCTGCAGAAGTTGACGCTTCGTGTTTGTTTTCGTTTTTCACGTCCGCTGCCCCTGTTTCCCTCCCATCAAACCCTCTCACATCTTGGCCAAAAAAAAAAATTATTTTGTTTTTCTTTTGTGTGTGTTTAGGAGGAGCTGCAGTGTATGTGTGTGTGTGCGTGCGTTTTTGCAAATTGCTCCGGAGGAGGATCGAGGGAGATGGATGCGTTGGCTGCTGCCCTGATGCTTCTGCTGGCGGCGGTGGTACCTCTGGTTTCGGGGCAGGAGAGGGATTACAGCCTCCGGGAGGAGCTGCCCGATAACGTGCTGGTGGCCAACCTGGTGCGGGACCTGAACCTGACGGCGGCGGCGGCGGCTGGTCTGCCCCTCACCTTCAAGCTGGTCTCCAAGACCGGGGATGCCCCGCTGCTGCGGGTGGAGGGCAGCAGCGGGGAGCTGTACACCACCGCCCACCGCATCGACCGGGAGAAGCTGTGCGCCAACTCCTTCAGCGATAGCCGCTGCTTCTACGAGGTCGAGGTGGCCGTGCTGCCCAACGAGGTCTTCCAGCTGGTCAAGATGCGCTTCCTCATCGAGGATGTCAACGACAACGCTCCGCTCTTCCCCTCGGCGGTCATCAACATCTCCATCCCGGAGAACACAGCCGTCAACTCCCGCTACTCGGTGCCCTCCGCCCTGGACCCGGACGCTGGCATCAATGGCATCCAGCACTACGAGTTGCTCAAGGGGCAGAGCGTCTTCGGGCTGGACATCATCGAGACCCCCGAAGGTGACAAGTGGCCCCAGCTCATCGTCCAGCAGAGCCTGGACCGCGAGCAGAAGGACACCTACGTGATGAAGATCAAGGTGGAGGACGGTGGCAAGCCCCCACGCTCCAGCACCGCCATCCTCCAGATCACCGTCACCGACGTCAACGACAACCGGCCCGTCTTCAAGGAAGGGGAGACCGACGTCCACATCCCCGAGGACGCGCCGGTGGGCACCTCGGTCGTCCAGCTGCACGCCACCGACGCCGACCTGGGCTCCAACGCCGTCGTCCGCTTCTCCTTCAGCAACCAGGTCTCTCCGCTGGCCCGCCGCCTCTTCGCCATCAATCCGTCCACCGGCCTGATCACCATCAGGCAGCCGCTGGACCGGGAGGAGTTCCCCGTGCACAAGTTGACCGTCCTGGCCAGCGACGGGAGCTCAACCCCCTCCAGGGCCGTGGTCACCATTAACATCACCGACGTCAATGACAACGTGCCCGCCATCGACACTAGGTATATCATTAACCCCGTCAACGGCACCGTCTTGCTGTCGGAAAACGCACCGCTCAATACCAAAATCGCCCTGATCACTGTCACGGATGAAGATGCAGATCTAAACGGGAAGGTCACCTGCTTCACTGACCACGATGTCCCATACCGTTTGAAGCCTGTGTTTGAAAGCCAGTTCTTACTAGAAACTGCTGCCTTGCTAGACTATGAGAGTACGAAAGAATATACTATTAAGATAGTGGCTTCCGATGCAGGCAAACCACCGTTAAATCAATCAGCCACTGTGGTGATTAAGCTGAAGGACGAGAATGATAACGCTCCTGTTTTTAATCAGCCCGTAATTGGCCTGTCAATCCCTGAAAATAACACCCCTGGTACACAGTTAACAAAAATCAGTGCCACTGACGCGGACAGTGGGAAAAATGCAGAGATCACTTACCTCCTGGGTCCCAATGCCCCCTCTGTCTTCAGTGTAGATCGGAGAACTGGCATTCTGTCAGCTATGAGGAGGTTAGACCGAGAGAAACAGGACCGTTATGTTTTTACAGTTCTGGCCAGGGATGGAGGCAAGCCTTCTATTCAGAGCAACGCTACTGTGGTTGTGACTGTGTTAGATCAAAATGACAACAGCCCTTCCTTCACACACAGTGAATACAATTTCTACGTGCCTGAAAACCTGCCCATGTATGGGACAGTTGGACTTATTACTGTTACAGATGCAGATGCAGGAGATAATGCAGCTGTTAGCCTTTCCATCTTGAATAATAAAGGCTACTTTATAATTGACCCCACCAGTGGGGTCATCAAGCCCAATATTACGTTTGACAGGGAGCAGCAAAGTTCCTATACGTTTCAAGTCATGGCTGTGGATGGAGGCAGGCCTCAACGGTCCTCTGTGGCCAGGGTGACCATAAATGTTGTTGATGTAAATGATAACAGTCCAGTGTTTGTATATCCTCCATCTAACTTCTCGTATGAACTAGTATCGACCTCCGCTAACCCTGGCTCAGTGGTGGGTAAAGTTTTTGCAATTGACAATGACACAGGGATGAATGCGGAACTGCGCTACAGTATCGTCAGTGGCAATTCCAGAGGACTGTTTGCCATTGACCCAGTGACTGGCAATATCACTTTGCAAGAGAAGGTGACTGCAGCAGACCATGGCTTATACAGGCTTGTGGTGAAGGTCATTGATTTGGGTCAGCCGGAATCCTTGCATGCCATGGCACTTGTGCACTTGTTTCTCAATGAAACCATCAATAATTTCACCTACGTTCAAGATCTGGTACGGAAGAGTATGGAAACGCCATTGGATAAGAATGTTGGAGACAGCCAGATGACTCCACAGACTAATGATTATATTAAGATTGTTATTGCTATCATAGCTGGGACTATGACTGTCATTCTTGTTATTTTTGTGACTGCGTTGGTGCGTTGCCGTCACACGCCAAGACATAAAACTGTGCAGAAGGGGAAACAGAGCGGGGAGTGGGTGTCTCCCAATCAGGAAAACCGACAGATTAAGAAGAAGAAGAGAAAGAAGAAGAGGTCGCCAAAGAACCTTCTTCTGAATTTTGTTACAATTGAGGAGTCCAAACCAGATGACCCTGCTCATGAGCACATCAATGGCACCTTGGACCTTCCAGTGGAATTGGAGGATCAGACTATGGGCAAGTACAACTGGGGCACAACACCCACCACTTTTAAACCCGATAGCCCGGATCTGGGAAAACACTACAAGTCGGCCTCCCCACAGCCCTCCTTTCAAATCAAGCCAGAGACTCCAGTGCCGGTTAAGAAGCATCACGTGATCCAAGAGTTACCGCTGGATAACACATTTGTGGTGGGCTGCGACTCCCTATCCAAGTGTTCTTCAAGCAGTTCTGACCCCTACAGCGTATCAGAATGCAGTTGTCAGGGAGGCTTCAAGACTGCAGGGCCAATCCACACCAGACAGGTAATTCAGAGATTCTAACTGGCCCTCACAGAGAGATCTTGTCTTGAAGATTAAAAGCCTTGAATGGTCATGCATGGCTGAGGCATTGAAATGTAAACAGCTTGTGATTCATCAATGTTGGAGAGAGAAATTAGAATGAAGTGGCATTTAGCTGGTGGTGATTTGCTGAGTTGTTGTTTCAACAATATGGTCTCTAGGTGGCACTGTAGTACTTCCTGGGTGTACAGAAAGCTGCAGCAGTTGTGAAGAGAAGGGCACTGCGAGTAGACTGTGGAGTAGCAGGCACAGGAATCCTGAGATGCGTAGTGCAGGTGCAATGTGAGGCTGTACAAAATCGATCTTTGGTTTCTGTTCAGAGACGTTGGCACCAGCAGTAAGGAAGGGAGGAACAGACTACACATTACACAGCAAAACAGTACCCCATTATACTGAAGAACAAAGACAGTAATATATTTTAAAAAAACTTGTATTAAAAAACTGCTGTGACTCAACCATTGCCTTTCTGTTAAATAAACATGCTTTTGTAAGGAATGTTCTATAATTTCTAATTTGGAGATCTCCAGGGGACAAGGGAAAAGAGGTGCTTCTCAATTCGGTTTAATAGAATAAGTGTAATTCTTATGCTCAAATCTTGGAATGTTGAAATTAAAACAGCATGATTATTCATGTTTTGAAACACTGAATCTGACTTCTCTATCTCCTTGCATGCTGGAGCCGGGCTGCTTAAATTAATTGTCTATTTTTAATGTGTCAAATATGCACATTGAATCACTGAGGCAACAGGCAAATTATGTACCTTCTGTGTGTTGAGAAATTGACATTTGGGTCTACAGAGCTAGCCCCTGGGTTGCAACTGAAAAATTCATTCTTGTTTTTCTTGTGCCGTCTCTTAACGCTTTTCACACCGTAAACTATTTCTGAAAAATAGGAGGCCAAGGGTAAATATGAATGTTCCAGTCAAATGGGGGAAGGGCAGGTAAGATTAAAATCAAAGAAAATGGACCTGCACCAAAAAGTGTTAAGAAATACTGAGGGGAAAGGGCAACAGTAACATAGGTGCTTTCAAAAGCATGTTGATTGACAGTTGCATTGGGGAGGATGTGCTTGCAAACCTTAATCGCAACAAAAGTGCTCAAAATGATATGCAAATGTTTCAAATGAAATGGGTGGCAGAACAGTGTGTACTATTGAACATTGTAATGTCTGTTTAATGTAGCTCTCTGAATCTCCATTATTCTTTACTGTACTGGGTTCCTTTGAGACCTGTTTAACTCTGGTAGGCAAACGGAACCATAGTTGGAGCCAAACAGCTACCGGCTTTGCGACTCAATTAATTATTCAACTGCTTGGAGAACAATTGCATGTACTGTTTGTCTCAAGTATTTTCCCTGTGAGTAGCTTTTGTTTTTGTCTAGCATTTAGGTCAGTATATCTTGTGCTATCAGTCACAAAAAATATATAGGAAGAAAAACAGTAAGATTAGTTTTGTTCTCTGGGCAACTTCATTCCAATTTGCAGAAGAATTTAGCTCCAGGAATTATATATCACTGATATGGAGTCCATTCAGCTATTAATATGCTTGTTTCCTGGTGTAAATAAACATTTCATTTGGATCAAAGTTTGGTTCCGTGGCTCTATTCAATCCATGCAAATTTTAAACTGTAGAGATTGCCTCCCCTCCTCATTCAAAGTTGTTTTGCAAAGTTGTTGGGATTTCAAACCCTCTTATTAAACCACTAGGAGTCAGTAGTTCTACCTTCTTGAAAGATTAGATCGTGGTTTTCCTGATGATTGGCTAAACCGTAAGAAAACCTGTAAACTGATTTCACAGAAAATACGTCTGAACTGGTATGCCAGCTAGAACTACTCGTGGTTATTCAAACCTATAGTCCATACCAAAATAATTTCACAAAACGACTTTATTTTGTGATGCAGCTTTCTACATTTTCAGAAAAAATTCCCTTTTGGTAATGTTTTAGAGGGTTGTGGCAAATAAAATGTTGGCAGAGGTGGGGTGGTGGGGAGGTTTTGGGAATTTTCTACATATTGCTGCCTTCCTTACATTGATGCCCTGTCTTGATTATTAGCATCAGAAAGCACTCAAGATCTGTGTGCACTTTATATAAAGAATACCACACATACATTTATATGAAAATGTTGCAGTTTCACCTTGGTGCAAAAATATGTTCGACTTCTGTTAACACGTATGTTGAACTATACCTCGTACTTAACACAGCGTAGAACAGACTAGCCTGTAATTAAAGATTAAAAACTGTGATTTAACAATGATAGACCTGTGGCCCTTCTCAACCTAGGTGACTGTGGTTGTGTCATTGTCAATGGTGCTTTATAAGATCCATTTGTTGTTAGCCAGTTTGAAGTCTTATTCTTCTTGTACTTACAGCTAACACAGTACTGGACATTCACTGCACCTCAAGTCAACTCTTTTTTAAATTCACCACAACAGGTTGAAAGATTATAGTTGAGAGCAACAGCACAGAATTGTTTTACAATTTTTACTTAATCATCCCACCACCAAGTCCTGAGTACCATTTGCAGACTCTATGGATTACTTCTCTCTGTGGTATTTCATAGATCTACAGTGCTACAGATGCTTTATCTGTACCAGTTAATCTAATAAGCACAACATATATAATAAATCAAATAGTGAGGGAAAGGTTTCACCAAGAATTTCTCAAGAATTGTTCCTTCAGAGCTGGCAAACATTTGCTCAGGTCATTTACTGTTTGCTTTCATTCACAGAAATGTTATGGTTTTCTAAATAAGATTATACAATCAGTCCAATCTGTCTTTTAAGTACCGATATTGAAGTAGTGTCAGTGGAACAGAATGATTGATTTCCGTTTATTGCATCTCAAATTGCCATTCAAGCGACCAGAAGAGGGAACCAATCCTGTTATTAAACCTAAATATATGAGGCAGTGGTTGTTTACTCTGAAAGAAGCTGTTCAGTATGGGCTAATGTTCTTGATATTGCAAAATGTTGTTATGCCAATGAATTGATTGCAGTGGAACTTCATTGTTACAAACTCACCCCACCTACATTAGTCAGTCCCCACAAATACTCAATTGGTAATTTATACGTGCTTGAACGGTCTAGATTTAATTTGCAGCCCCTGATCTCCGTTATGAGTTTTTAAGGTGCACTTGCACAGAAAGTGCTGCAATTGATCTTATTGCATCTGGACTGAGAATGAAACAATTGGATTGGTTTTATTGATATCCACTGACTCCTCTGAGAAAGTGTACAGGTGCGTGCTTCAGTTGAAGGCAATGAGCTCTGGTACCCTCTTGCTGTTAAATATCTTGTCATCACACAGGAGAGTGGCCATGTTGGCAAGTTGCTTAAGGCCAACAATTGTACGTGAAACACAAACTGAGTATGATCTAGCTTTCAGCAGTAGTCGGCACAATAAAAACATTATTTTCCAAATCTGCATTAAAAAATTTGGTAATAGTGGAAGATCCATGCATTACCAATATAGATAATGGTAACAATGTGCCATACCAGGCTTCTTCACTGGTCCCTGAGTTTGTAATAATAAGGTTTGACTGCACACTTGCAATGTTATGTGAAATGTGCAACGTTTATTTAATGCGCTTGTGTATGTTGATTTTATTATTCTTGCAACTTCATTGAAGCAATTTGCAGTTGTATCTATTAAAAGCAGTAGTTAAATTCACTGATAAGAATAAGTGCAATGTAGTGTAAAACAGCTCCATTTATACTTTAGTGGTAGACGTACCATTTATTTCATTTAAATTAAAATTCATTTAGGTATTTATACATCTTCTGTATTTTTGGTCTGGCCTGTGTACCTCATTTTGTATATTTTACACGCGTTTAATGTCTTGTGCAAAACTCATTTCTTCATTAAACTTTTTTCGCATTACACTAACACATGAGCAGAATTTTTGGTGTTTTGAGTCTAAGGTTTATGATGGGACTGTTATGTTTTAGTTTCTTTTAAAAATAACTCATTTTCTAATCTTCTCCATGGCAGTTTTTTTTTCCTTTTCCTCCTGAAAATGATGACTTCCTTGGGAATAGGATTTCATGAGCATTAGTTAATACCTGAAACTTTCCTTAAATGACCACTGTTTATGTACAAATCTTGACAGTGCGTACCAAATAAGTATTCAACTGTTGTGTATCACATCAGTGCTTATTTCTGTTTCTGCCTGATTATAACTCCCTCCAGGAGTAGCTGCATTTCGCTGAGGATCATAGACCGAGGATGATTTTTGTTCCCCTGGGAAATTGAGATTTACTAACTGAGCGCAGGACTAATTTTGATAAACTCACTGAGCGATTGTTAGAGCTGTTTTTTTTCCCCTTTGATAAATGCATAAGAAGAGTCCAGAAGGAGCCAGGAATTGCATACGTGGAGAAAATACTTAAGGTGTGCTGACTTGAATTTTTACTCTCCATTTGCCTATATTTGATGAATCAATTCATGCCGCCTGATTCATACATTTAGTGAACTACCATTCAACAGCCTTTATTACTTCACCCATGAAGTCTGTGCAAACGGAGGATCTTAGATAAGAGGTTATTCTTACACATGTAAGGGGCAAAATGCCAGATATCAATTGTATTTGAGAATGACACAAATCACTTTACAGCATGGGGGCCTCTGGTTATTGATCAAGAATGCAGGCCTATTATTTTTTTCCCTTCTTCTTAGCTTGGGGAAACTTAATTGTGCAACCAGCTATTTCGGCATAAATCAGGGACTGAACATGACATTCACATTGCGGAGGTCCATTCTGAGCTGACCATTTTATCAAGAGAGCCTCTGCCCAATTTCTAATCCAGTTAATCTATAACAATTGGTACTTTATGGCACCTTTTAAGTACCAAAACATTGAAAGTCACTCAGAAAAATCTTTAATATTAAGCAGCTTTAGGAAATTAACATGCAATGAGGCAGATTTTACACAATGGCTTAAAGGAGGAAAGAGGAAGAGAAGTGGTC